GGTGTAAATTCAGTCCCCAGAAAGCCAATAAAATCAAATTTGTGAGAAAATTAGCTCTCACGAGTTCAATCTCTCGAAGTCCCTCCATTTTTTACATATTCTGCACAAACGATACTTTCCGCCCCGCCCCATTCATATAATTCGAAAGGAAATCCTGTGAGGGGTGAATACACTTTAATACCAAAATGCACAAAACTTAAAAATTCATAAATAACAAAAAATCAAAATACACCTTTTAAAGTCGGGTAGATGAATCGAAAATACTCAAGTTGACAGTCCCTTGGATTCTCTTCATAAACTTCCTTTTGAAATTAATACTACAAATTTGATACGCTTACAAATAAAAAACGGAAAGAGTTAAGATAATTGATGATTGATCAATTAAAAGAACTAAATCAGGCATAACATTTGATAACGGCACAAAAGCATTTGTAAACAAACTGTCTAAGGCCCTTTACACATGAACCAAAGTACGCCCACGCAAACCAATACCACTTTCGGTAAGGTGATAGAAGCCAGAAAGGCCGAAAACCACAAAGGCCGAAAGCAGAAAGGTCGAAAACCAAAAAGGCCGAAAATTTATCAAAAACTGAATTTGTTGAAAACCACATCGAAACAATATGTTAGCCATCCCTAATAAAACAATACCATAAACGAATGATAACCCAAATCATAAAACTATTCCACAAAAGGTTTAGATGATACCATGAACACGTCATTAAGCAAAATAAGGCGTAACATTTGATAACGGCACAAAAGCTTTTGTAAACAAACTTTTTAAGGCCCTTTACACGCTAACCAAAGTACGCTCACGCAAACCAACAACATCATCGGATAGGGGCAACTCTCACTGTTCCGAAAGTGGTATTGGTTTGCGTGGGCGTACTTTGGTTAGCGTGTAAAGGGCCTTAGAAAGTTTGTTTACAAATGCTTTTGTGTCGTTATCAAATGTTACGCCTGAAATAACCATAACACTTTTATTAGGGTTTCTGCTCGCACAACTGACTCGGCTCGTTGGTACAAACTGGAACTTTAGTTCAATACAAGCTTGCAAATACTCATTACAGCTAAAATGCTATTTTTCGGATTTATGATGTTATGAGATATTTTAATGATAATTGTTATTTACAAGATGCAAGAAAAGAAGGTAAAGTGTGTGTATGACACATAAAACCTGTCAATTTTGCTTTCAGAGGGTCAGAATAGCGATTAGCTGTAACGATGAGCAACGCGATGAGCGAGCAATCAGCGATCATAAAATCGCTAGTTGTGACCTTCTGCTAGCAAAATTGACAAATTTTATAAGTCATACACAAACTTTTCCACCTCTTCTTGCTTCTTACAAATTAAAATTATCATTATAGTATCTCGTAGTTTCATAATTACGAAAAATAGCATTTTAGCTGTAATGCGCAATTACAAGCCTTGGAGACGAACCAGCCCAGGGCTGAAAGTCTCCTTAACAAAGATATAAAAAAAATAAAAAATTACAAGCCTGCTTCAATAATGTAATTTAATTAATTAAATTGCTTTTTCGGCCTTTTGTGATTCGGCCTTTCATGATTCGGCCTTTTGTGTATTTCGGCCTTTCGTAGTACTCCCGGTAAAACATTATAAAATAGATAGGGTTAACTACCCCATTTCCGGTCTATTAAGCACAACCCGCTCTTAGTCTTTAATAATCTAGCGCAGTTTAGCACCAAACGGAATGTTATTATCACTGATGGCTTCCAAATTTATTTACCTTTCCGTACGCGTAAGATTTGATAAAGAGAAACCAATCGTTGAGATATTGTCAAAAGTCTAACACTGCTTCTTGACGCCAAACTCGGCCTGCGGATTCTAAACTCGGCCTAACGCATTGAAACGCCAATGAATTCACTTCGGCCTATCGGATGAAGCTAAAAATTGATTCGGTCGGAGCGCTTCTTTTGTTTTTGGGAATAACGGGTGCAAACCTTCATATCATGCGTTCTCGTTGACTTCGTTCCGTAGCTTATTAACTAAAGTATCGCACCAAACGCATAATTGACTTGTTAACTCTGAAATCATGGATTTATTTGAAGTTTTCTGCTCGATAGGCCCAAAAAGGGCGATTAGGCCGAAGTAGTTCTCTACCCTACTTGATGCTAAAAAGTAACAACATCTGTTAAAAACTTGACACGTGCTAGTCATTGGTTCATTTGCATCATAGTTTGTGCGAGAAGCCGGGATAATGAAGAAAGAGTGGGTTCGCAAATTTACTCGTCATATGTTAATGTTCATCTGATGTTGTAGACTTACACAGCCGGCACCGGTGGTGTAGTGGTAAGCGTGACTGCTTTCTAACACCCCAATGGGTCTGGGTTCAATCCCAGCCGAGGTCGGTGGGATTTTTCTGAGGCATAAAAATCTCTGGTCACGTCTTCCTTCGGAAGGGAAGTAAAGTCCCGGCCCATGTGTGTTAAATGGGTGCGATATCCTACGCAGGTGTGGAAAAAAGCTGCCTTCCTGCACATTCGGTTGCCGCCAATGGATGGCAATCGATGTCCGTCGGTGATTGGCACTAGATTGCGGAACAGAGACCGACGTTAAATAAAGGAAAAATCTGTTGTAGACTTGGACCGCAGTTAATGTCCGGTCAATACAGCCCTAGAAACGTCACGGCGAATACATGTAAGTTGTAAGTTGGAAATTATCATTATTATAACGTGAAAATTTTGACGGTGGTTGAATGGTAATTGTGACTGCTTTCTCAACCAAGTGTGTGTGAGTTCAATCCCAGCCGTAAGTCGTTTGGAATTTTCTGAGGTAAAAAATCTAATGCATGGTAATGCTTGGTCCCAAATCTGTATTTAGAAAGACAAAAATGTTTGCGCTCAAACCATTTCTTTTCGGTAAACGGTGTCTCCGGGAAAGTTTTTAGATATTTTTTGGCCCATCTTTTAATGTAAGTGAAATTAGAGTGGTCCCTATGGTTCTTGTGTTCAAAATATAAACTTTTTAGTTATATAAGATAGACCACCTTTATGCTTCGACAAAGTTGAAGAACAATTTATAATGGATTTAAAAAGGTAACTTAGGGTGTCCCCTAAAGAACAGATTTTTCGCATTTACTTTTTATGCATTGCAATCTGCAATGCTGCGACAACACCTGACAGACTGACCGGGGTACCTACTGGTAACGGTTTCAGGAAATTATTATTATCACATCGAAAAACAGTTCATTTCGGATAGTTCACAATAAAACGAATCAAAAGCACACAGCTAGAGATATATGAAAAATTTATATTTCCTCTTCTATATGACACATAATCAACAATAAAATAAATACACAGTAAATAACGAATACTTTTCAGCGGCTAAAATAAATTTTATCGAATAACAAGTTCAATCAGGTTCTAAACGTCATCAGGACGATACAATCGCAATAAGGTAATTACTGCCGGTGCAAATTATTGGTCCATTTTTGATTTGTAAAACAACAACCGAGGAGTATTGATCGGATCACTTCCATGCCTACATCGGTGAACATTTAACGGCAGTGTACGATCCAGCCGCAGACTATAATAGCATAGCAGACTAGAGAGACGGTCTCGGTGTGTCTTGTTTGTTGCTTGTGCAGTAATTTATGGCGTTTCCGTTATGATGAAGAATCGTTTGCTACATTATCCATGATGACTTCTGAAATCCAATTTCATGCTACATGGAGTACGATAGTTCGACTTGTTCGTATTTCAACACTACATCGATTTTAGGTTTCCCAATTCACACTTTTGGTTCCATTGAGAATAGAAATGAAACTCGGTATTTTTTATCATCGATAGTATTCTGCACGGGAATCGTTTGCCGAACAAAGTAAACCAGATTTTGGTACGATTTCCATTAGATCAAAATACACTTCAGCTATGTTTGTCTATTTATAAATCAATAAGTTCTACATCAACGAACCCGATGCTAAATTTTGCTATATGTATACGTTGATTCTATATGTTTTTACATCGATTTTTATTTCCATTCGATGGATTACGATATTTTCGATTCACAAACATGGTTGTGCTACAATGATGGATCAAACATTTGACTACTACCGACTTGTAAAAATTTGGTCAATTCCATATGCGTTACATTGAGCATCTTACAATTCATAGAGCTATGCCTTCGCTTGAGTTTATTTTCTTGCGAATTTGCTATTGATCAGATATCGTTTGCTTGCTTTGAATCACCACAGCACAAAAATAAAAAAAAAAATGTATATTCATTCGAAACCGATGCAGATCAACCATGTCGAATATAGGCAGCTGCACTATTGTACATACCTTAGAAGCGCTTAATTTTCTCCTAAGTAATTGAAAAACGCTAAATTAATCGAAGTGCGTGTACCATTTTATACAGCAATAGATCTGTTAGTATTCGGGTATTTAGATTTTTAATTTTCTACTTGCCCGATACAACGCTTCTCTAACTAAAGCCAAACACGCAGGTAGGGTAACAAACCAGAGTACATACGCACCCGGACACAGCTTGAATAGTTTAGGCTGCGTTCCATTTGGTGAATTTGAGAAATGGAATTTATTTAAATAACCCTGCGCTGCCCATAAAAACATAACAGCCCCAAATGGATTTTTTTTTGTCAGAAATGTCCAATGTCCATTAGAATCAATTGTAAACTACCGGCATCTTACACTGTGCACTAAAAGTTACATGCTTTGTGCAGAAAATATCATGAGAAATACTAAAACTAGGTTGTCCCATCCAGCCTATGGGAAAATAAATGTTCAACAGCGTTTTTCTCGGCTTGCTGTTTTTCCAGATGGGACTGATATTCTTTTATGTGCAGTGCACACCAACTCGAAAATCGGTCGGCCAACAGCAGAAGGATTTTAATTTATTTTCAAAGTGTCAATTTTAAGTGAAAATTCACCAAATGGTACACAGTCTTAGCATTTTTCAAGATTTACAGAGTATTTCCTGCAAAAAGGTGTGTTTATCTTTTTTTTCCGTCGAAAATATTATGCACTTTTATTTTTTTCTGTTTTCCAGTCGTGTATGTAGGTACCGTGACATGCCCTATTACCATAGGTTTGCCATAAAAACATGACTTGCAATATTTATTAACCTAAAAAAAATAATGTCTAATACTGCGACACATAGAATCATCACTATATCCAAAAAACGGCGTGCATTGTGTATAGAAGTACCTCTATTTCTAACGATGCGCAGAGCCTTGTTCAATTGATTCAGAATGTAAAACATACGTTTTATTAAGCTATTTTGCTGCTGGTATCAAACCACGGTATTAGGTACGTACGTATTTGAACGTGTTTGTAGCCAGCTGTCAAATTTGTTATGTATTAGATGACTCGATATGCTAACATTTGCAATAGTTATTTAGAAGAAAAAAACATCAATATACCGTAATGTTGCAACCCACCGCTCATGTAGTCTAGCTTCACGACAAATGTATAATTATTTTTATCATTTTTTATCTTAACTTGCACTTTATAGCAAATGATGATCAATTATACTACTGGTATTAATTGTAATTATGCTATTGGTATTTGTAGTAATTGTATGTAAATAATGATAATGCGTATGCAATGAGCGATTAAGGAAGCATGAGCTGTGAATGGCCACCTTACGCAAAATATTCAAGTTTATTGTCAAACCCACAGTATTAGGTGCTGCGCGGGATTAGGGCAGGTCCACTCTGGTCTGTTAGAGGATATTGTGTCGATGCTTTTCAGTATATTTTTTTCTTGCTGTGATGAAGCAACCATTTCCTGTGAATATGTGCGATCGTTTCGGTATGTGATGCGATATTCTAAGTTTAATAACATTTCTGCGTGAATGTTTCACTTACAACTACTTTGGAGAATGCATGCAAGTTTTACAGAGCATCTTTAATCTTCATCATAGGAAGACAAAGATTGTAGAACGAACTATCTACAAATTCATCAATTTTCTGCCATTTCACGTAGGTTTTAGTGTAGAGCTCTTCTTTGGTTTCAATTTTTCCGACAAAATGGGGATCAATGACCAGCAGGTAAATATCCTGGTCATCACTAACATGTATTCCAGCAATTCCCTTCGAAGCAGCATCCATATCGCCACCCATCATGATCAAACCGCCATATGTTTCGAAATAATCCTTGAGCGTATCGCTATGCTTTGCAATACTATCTTTTTTCGATATGTGAATAACCTTGCAGGACACGTCGAACAGTGTATCGATTACGTAGATAGCTTCTAGTGTACCAATCCACTCACGAGAACCGAAGAAACGTTCCGGCTTGTCCTTTATTTCCACTAACGTTTGCTGAATTGTTGGAATGTTTGGGACTTCGTTTTCTAGTTCTTTGTTCAGAATGATCCACGAGCAAATCGATTGTAGTGTTCGGTACCCGCAGCCCCAACCCTGAAAAAGATATAAAACATGATGTTTTTAATTTATGAACAATAAAATTGAGCTATTATGCAACTGCTATTTAAATCTAGTAATTCCTATAGAAAACTTAGTATCTTTTGTAGGAAAATCGATTACACCGCACAGTGGGACGAAATCAAAAAAAGTAGGACATGGCTATTTGCGACGAAACTATGTTCATGCCTTCTTGGATGTTTCTTCATTTCTTGAGAACTTTATTTGAGCATTGAAAAATTTCGCTTAAGAGGAGTATACACTCAGATAAAAAATTAACTTTTTTATGTCTTTTAAAAACTCATGAACATCTATGAAAACATTGTAGATGATGTAAGTTTAAGAAACTTTGTTGAGGACGACAATTTTCCATCTCTCAAGTGGGCAAAGTTATAGGGTGAAAGTGGAGTACAAACGGTAGTTTGAACTTTTTCATTTTTTTTTTTTCAATATTCTTCAAAGTTGTAAATGCTTTAAAAATGCACAATTCTACCGATGGAAGTAAATCGTTATCTCTTCGTTTTAAGAATTTACATTCGTTTTTTATTATTTTATAACATATATTTAAGGGGGTGTATCTTGTGCTAACCTGGCTAGCAGATAGGTATTAGCATCTAATCTCAACGTAATTTCGTTCAGCAACTTATACTCTACTGTAACATATACAATTCATACAGGGATCCTAAGGAATGCTTAATAAATTTTCAAATAAAGTACCTCAATGTTTTGTTTTGTTTTGTTGTTTTTATGACCATTTTCCAAGTATGTACATTAGGGTGTGGGGAACGAATTTGGTTATAATCTCGATTTGCGGGAGAATCGCTCAAATTTTACCAAATCTCGGACTTAGATTAAGAATACTAAACAAAACAAAGTACTGTATGAAGTAATGAAATTGGGTTGTTAGCGGAATGCTAAATAAAACAGCAAAAGGGTTTATCTTCCATTTAATTCCACTTAATTAATTTTTGTATCCATGCCAGATACGTATTTCGACTACAATGTGCAGTCTTCATCAGTGTCATTCCCACTAAAGAACTTATCAAAATCTAACCCCCTTAAGTACTCATCCCCTAGGTAAAAAAGTCAAGATCATAGGTATAAAAATGAAACTACAATGTGTTGAATCGGAACCTACCTAACTAATAAAAACCAAAGATTTAAGTAAGCTAAAGGAGAAAAATCTATACAAATCTCTAATAAGGAAAATCCCCAAAGGCTTGGTAGCCATCATAATGAAGTAATGAAATTGGGTTGTTAGCGGAATGCTAAATAAAACAGCAAAAGGGTTTATCTTCCATTTAATTCCACTTAATTAATTTTTGTATCCATGCCAGATACGTATTTCGACTACAATGTGCAGTCTTCATCAGTGTCATTCCCACTAAAGAACTTATCAAAATCTAACCCCCTTAAGTACTCATCCCCTAGGTAAAAAAGTCAAGATCATAGGTATAAAAATGAAACTACAATGTGTTGAATCGGAACCTACCTAACTAATAAAAACCAAAGATTTAAGTAAGCTAAAGGAGAAAAATCTTTTGCTGTTTTATTTAGCATTCCGCTAACAACCCAATTTCATTACTTCATTATGATGGCTACCAAGCCTTTGGGGATTTTCCTTATTAGAGATTTGTATAGATTTTTCTCCTTTAGCTTACTTAAATCTTTGGTATTTATTAGTTAGGTAGGTTCCGATTCAACACATTGTAGTTTCATTTTTATACCTATGATCTTGACTTTTTTTACCTAGGGGATGAGTACTTAAGGGGGTTAGATTTTGATAAGTTCTTTAGTGGGAATGACACTGATGAAGACTGCACATTGTAGTCGAAATACGTATCTGTCATGGATACCAAAATTAATTAAGTGGAATTAAATGGAAGATAACCTTTTTTGCTGTTTTATTTAGCATTCCGCTAACAACCCAATTTCATTACTTCATTATAAAAAATTGTTTTTCGGAATTATAAAATCATTAGGTCGTATGAATAAAAGCGTTTACTTTACTTTTCCCATAAGAAAAGCACGGGAAAGTAAAGTAAACTCTTTTTATTCATACGGCCCATTAGATGATGTAACGATATGTTGTTCTTGTAAGTAACAAGAAGAGGGTGTAAAGTATGTGTTTGACTCATAAAACCTGTCAATTTCGCTTACAGAGCGTCACAATCAGCGATCTTATGATTCGTGAGCGTTCACTCAGAGTGAGTGCTCACGAGTCGTAAAATCACTGATTGCGACGCACTGAAAGCAATATTGGCAGGTTTTATGAATCAAACACATACCTAACGATCTCTTCTTGTAACTTACTAGTACTAATTATCATTATAACATCTAATGATTTCATAATCCTTTTTATAGCAAGTAGAGTGGAAGTAACCCTGCTTAAAACGAATAGCGATTTGCTTCCTTCGGAAAAAAGCCCTTACAACTTTGTAGAACATTGAAAAAACTAAAAATTCAAACAAAAACGTTATGGTCAAAAAACGTTTTTTAATATATTTGTTTATTTATTTATTTATTTATTTATTTATTTATTTATTTACTTTTTATTTATTTTTTTTTTGTTCTCCAGGTAATCCAGTTTCCTAAAACTTTATCGCAGACGTTATTTCGATTAGATGAGCCATTTTCGAGCTATGATTTATTGGAAGATATCCAATACGCCATTTTGATATGTTGCCCATAGCCAACAATGAAGCAAAGATTCATGGAATTCTTAGAGGTAAAAACTGAAATTCGTTCATTTTCCGCTATTTGGTAAGGATGTGGTCCAGGCCGTTAGAAATACGGACTTTTGGCTTATCATGGCGTGGACTCAATTTTATTTATCATTTTAATACTTCTGAATATTTAAAATTTGTTCAAATCTTAGATCTTATTTTTCAAACCAACCTCCCGCCCACCCCCCTTGGCTAGTTTTTGCACCTTGCTGTTGGTGGGTGGGCTTAATTTCATGCTTTATAGTGGAGTGTTGGAGATGGTAGGTTTGGGGCCGGCGTTGCTGGCTCATGCCGCGATAGAATGGCGTCATGGGCAGGCAATGGGGATTACTAAGCTTCCCCTCTCTGATAAACCACTGCATGAGAGAACCAAAGATCTAGTCTAGCAGTGATAGTATCACACTTGTTACTTCTTTTGATTGAGAGCCGCGTCGTAGTACGCTTACGTATAGGCACTGACGTTGGGTGCGATACTGGTGGGTTTTGCCGCAAATCACTCTTATTTTATTTATTTTTACGCAAATAGATTTATTTGGGTTTGCAAGGGAATTATACTATTGAAATATTTCAGGAAATGCCCAACGGTGCTCTTTCTATTTGCGTGACAAGCTTTCAATGTCGTTTTCATTGAAGTATTACTCAGGAAACAATGTTAAACATCATTTTTGTACATGGTATTGTAACTAATCTTATTCGTGCTTCATTTTGATTTGGGATAAGTGTTTGAACTATGGCTCGGGATTTCCACTGTGGCGTGCTTTTATTGTGACATACTCACTCATACGTATTTTTGTGGTGCGACATAGTGGAAGTGTGTGAGCATAGTTGGAACATATACCCTATATAATTTAAAAATCAGCTAGGAAACTAACTTCAAAATGAAGCATTTTAGTCACATGAAGGTGTTACCTTATATATGCAGTTAAAGCATTTGAGTTAACTTATTTCTTAGTGTTCAAGTACTTACATTTGTAAACAGCAGTCAATGTTAATCTATGAACTAAACCCTACGTAAAATCGATCTTTCCTTATGTGGTATTGATGCATGTTTAACTTTTCCCGGCTGTCGGAATCAACGCGCCTACATCTACGGAGCTTACACAGAAGTGATTCGCAATGCGGTAGAGCTCACCAAAAGTTTTTTTGAGCTTCTGTAGTATAGAATTTGTTCGGTGCGGTTTTGAAATTTTGAAATGATTGATACGTGCGGTAAAATGACTAAATTGAAACAAAGCTCAATGGTAAAATAAGTAGAATATCTAGGGAGGAAACCAAAATTAATCAACTTGCCAACATAGGCTATCACATTTATTTTGGTGGCACTCTTTAAATGATAATAAGCCTTTTTTCTCGCTTCGGTGGTCTCGCACGGCTTTCGGAATTCGCGCGGTTTTCGTAACTTACATAATTTAGATATTTCGTTCGAAACGGATTTACTTATTCAATCGGTTTACTACGCGGATGTATCTACGCGCACACGTCACAGCATTTTTTTTCTATAACTATCTTGAAACAATACATACGGAATCCAGTGTTTAAGCGGCCAACATAGGCTAGTCCTTCTGCTGTATTGTCAAAGATAGAAGCGAAATTTATTCAAACGGGTCAAGTCTTGAAAACTAAGCTGTCACGCAGGTCCAGCTTGATACCCAATAAAAAAAATCTTAGATCTTATTTTTCAAACCCTACAACTTAAATGTTGATTTGGGTTTTAGAAGCTGATCATAAGCCTGGATTTTTTTTCAATTCCAGGATTTCGACTTATTATATTTTAAGTAATTTTTCAAAATCTCAGCATACCAAAAGCCACATCATAATTGTCTTAGTTAAGAAAGTTTGAAAATGTTTCGTAGTCTAGAGCCATTGGGATCATGGTATTTTTTTGGGATATTAAACATGTTTTTTTTTTTAATTTGAGATATTGAAATTTGAATCGAATCGAATGTTTGTTTTACTCTGGGCCTTGATTTTTTTCCTCTATATGGGTCATTCCAGCTCAAGTGGATACAGAATTTAAAAATATTGTGGTCGATGTCACCGATTTGAGCCAAACTTGGCCAAAACGCTTATTTTGGCTTTCTGAACAAACACCTTTTTTGATTTTACTCTAAAGTGCCTAGATCCCTGGATTTTTGAGATTTTTCGAAAGATTATTCCACAACCAAATAAGCTATTCGTGATATTTGAACATCAATTTGAAGGTTTTTAAATGTAGATTCACATAGGTGTACTCACATTTTGTTTTTGTTATGGAAACTACAGTAAACAGAC